AATTAGATTTCATATGCGGAAAGAAACTTTAAAGTATGTGTATGTCAGCGGCATTGAGTTAGATGATCTTCAAGAATGTTTAGGCGAATATATTGAAGTAGTGCCAGATAAGGATGATATTATTGTTAAATGCTAATCAGAATGGGTTTATTTGACACTAGTTGTTTCATCAAAATAATTAGATTACAACATTCAATCAAAATCTATATTATAAAGAATTTATTTAGCATGTAGTTCATTATCATTTATTGAACGTAAAAATTTATGTGAAAGAACATTAAATAAGAATTTGATAATATACTTTATTCTACTCCATCTTTGAAATATCTAATAAAGTACGTTGTACTGTACATATATATGCCATTCTATATATGCATAGTGATTAAAATTTTACAAATATAATTAATTTTGGGGTCCGTATCACTTCGTAGAAGTTTATTTCACAGACACTTTATTTCACAGACAATCAGCTCATAGACAAGTTTATTTCAAAGACAATTATTTTATAGACAGTTCATTTCGTAGACAAATTTATTTTATAGAATTAAGTACTACTTAATTGTCTATAAAATAAATTTGTCTAAGAAATAAACTGTCTTTAAAATAAACTGTCTATAAAATAATTGTCTTTAAATAAACTTGTCTATGAACTGATTGTCTGTGAAATAAAGTATCTGTGAAATAAACTTCTACGAAGTGATACGGACCCTTAATTTTGTTAGTATATATTTTCATATAATTTTACGCAGAGATTGAAATTGATAAATGATCATTAATCGCAAATTCTTTTAATTAACCATTTATTAATCATCCGATCATATAAAATTTAAATTAAATTTACAATATTCTGATTTTATAATTTACAACATATGAAAGATACCCAGAGATTCCAAGACAATTAAAAATCTGATTTTTGATTTTAATAGAATAAATTGACTTTATGATTGGACATTGATACTCGAAGAATTCAGAGCTTGTCAAATCTATTATATAATGTTTTTAAAAGCATTTAAATGGTTTGTTTCTAACACATTCGATTATGGTTCAACTTGATCAAGATTAATAAAAAAATATTTATAAAACATATGATGCGTAGGAATATATAAACAAAAATAGCAAAATAGCGGATATTTCTTTGTATATATAAGTGAAAATTTCGAATTTAAAATTTTGCTTTGGGTAATATTGTACATGTTAAAATCGCATCAGTACAGGACTCATCAGACATGACAAGATCAATCCAGTTTCTTCGTCTTGTGCAATTTCATCGTATTTTTGGTCTAAACTTATCTATAAAAGATAAAATAGTTATTGAAACTTGAGTAATCTTAACATATCAATATTATTTAAAATATAAAACATACTTATAAAATTTAAAAATTACCTAATTTACTATATAGGTTCAGTATCGTTTTGACAAGTAAATGTTATTTTATTATAACTTTAGCAACGTAAACTTCGGACGAATAATTGGTATTGATCAATTATGGTATAGTAACATCAATATATATATATATTAATTTTATCTTCAAAATAAGCAAACCAATATTGCGCATTATGTCTCTTTGATATATCTCTACTCTAGCACATTTTACATCACGATATACGTATTCCTCCATACGAGAAAAGACCGGTCGTCAGTTGTCGCATTATTATTTCCATACTATAAAGTCACTATTGAACTAAATGTTAGAGTTACGTCCCTGAAGAATATTTCCAGGAGGTAATGATAATTAAGTTAGACCCGTGAATTTTCATAAGAGCATATTTAATATCATAAAGGATTTCAATTCTTTGCTGTCAATTAAGAGAAGTAACAGTATAAATTTTGAGATATTGGTTCTCTCGTCAATCTATAACATTTGGCAAAGGGAATAATTCTCATCATGGAATAGAGGTGTTGGTTGACTAACAAGAAATTTTAAGGATAAAAAAATGATTATAATATTGTGATGTGAAATAAAGATTTCTAGGTTTTATTCATAGACATTTATTTAGTAAAAGTTTTTATTAATATAATAAGATTACTAAGTAAATACACACTGATCTGTTATTGTCGCCATCTATCAAACGTATCGCCAAACAACAAATCGTCAAGTAAATACTTGCACAATCACCTTTTGTTTCTTAAATTAAACCATCAATTTCTTCAACGATTTTGGAAATTTCCAGTTAAGTATCTTTGAATACAAGAGTATTCACACGAAGGTTAAAGTCTGACATGTTTCACGCACTCGAATTTCACCAATATTTTTTGAGTTTTGTTCTCTTTAACCCATTTATTAATCCAGGTCTTAAAAAAATTCTTTTTTTGATTGGTTGATATACTCTGTTTATTAATAGTTGGTTTAAAAAATTTAAAAGGCTATCTTGAGTTTTAAGAGATACGTAAAAATCTTAATGTTTATCTATGAATTAATTAAATTTATTTGTTAATTTCACAGAATTGAAAGAGATAGTTCAAGATTAACAAACTATATTATTGATCCAGTAATTTTCAAAAAACTTGTCCGAATTAAACACTAATTATCATACGATGAAATAATCTTAAATATTAACGATTTACAATAATGCATTTGTAATCCAAACTATAATATCCATTTATACCCAATTCTCTTTTGTTTGCAAAATTCAATTAACACTTTAACTTGTTTCTCGTTATAAAGGTTACCAATCAACAATTTTTTAAGGATCATAGCAATTATTGAGCCAAATGTCAATATAAGAATCTAACCAAGAAGATGAGCCAAGGTATTGCAATATTGACGGCAATGATTCTGCAAACAGCTTAAATTACACTTTAAACACTATTCTGGAATGGAATTAACTTCGCAAAATAACATGAGAAATTAAAGTTTTTGTAAATTACCAATAAGTTCTATAAGTTAAGTGAAAAAATTTAACAAACTTTTCTAAAATTTTTGTTGACAAGCAGGAAATCAACAATTTCTCAAGTGATCAACTTACAAAGACTTGCGATTTGCAAGAATATGTGAAATTTGATGATCAAAAAAAAAAGAAATCGATGATTTCTGATTTTTCGTTTCTTTAACATTTTTTATACTTTTAGATTAGACTTTAATATACGTAAGATTTATAAAATATGTAATACGTATAGCTATTAATAATTATTTATAGTTACTATACTATTTTTTCACTTTCGTATAATTTACGTCATCAAATTTAAACTTTTCTTTTCTTTGTGTCACTTTTTTTTTTTTTTAGGGACAAAATTTTAAGCTATAAAAAAAATGATAAATCAGTGATGACAAATATGAAAATTTTTAGTGCAGTCGTCAATAACATGGCTGCACAATAATGTATATTAAAGTCTAATCTTAAAGTCTAATCTTAAAGTCTAATCTAAAAATCTAAAAAAAATGTTACAATCAGAATCAGAAATCATCGATTTCTTTTTTTTCAAATTTAACATATTTTTGCAAACCGCAATAATATCTTCGATAAATTAATATTTTGCAATAGATTATACGTCTTATACGAAGGATTTCTGAATTTTCACAATTAATTAGCACCTCCAACTTCAAGTTACAAGAACAATTTTCTATTTCAACTTCTTATAATGATTGCTTTTAACTTTTTAAAGCCGAAAAAATGTGTACGAATGCATGCAATATCCATCGACTATGTTGATTTTCCTAAGTTGTGCTTACACGCAGTGTTGGCCCGGACATTGGACATGGACATTGGACAGCCCTTGTCCAGTCCAGTCCAGTCCATTGGACCGGAAGGCATTGGACACTGGACATTGTGTAACATTTAAATTTATATATGGCACGTGACATTAGACCAATCAAATTTTAAATTTTAATTGCATAGATTAATAGCACAATAATATGAGTAATACAAAAACTTATTTATATCATTCATATTTATTATTTATACATATAATTTAGCTTTTAAAAAGATCTATTAAATACCTCATAATATGTAGATTAAAAGCGGGTTTTCTAATCACTTTATTTTCACAAATATATAAGTTATAGATCGGATGGATCCGTTAATAAAATTTTAAAGGTTCACTATATTGAGAGTTATACGAGTTAATTTACAGTATCGTGAGAATTTTACTCAGTTTAAATTCACTAAATCGAAATTTACTTGTCTTCACATATCGACTATAACAAGAATGACTTGTATCACAACGGCGCAATATCTTAAGAATTTATATTCGTTAGAAAGCTTGCTCATCATACAATATTGTAATTACACATTGTTGGCAAATTGTTAAGAAGCTAAGTTCGTTAAGTAATAGTCTTTAAATTCTAGCATGAAATATTTCTCATCATACTATTTATTTACTCACTATGTACATACTTTTTTTATTTATTCTGAATACTACTCTAACGACAAATACAAATAATAACATTATTCACAAGCGAGATGGTACAAGGCCAGAACACATGTATACTAATAGAGTAATTATGATGTTACTCCAATAACGTCCAAGCAAAGTTGGCAAAAATTTGATCTTTATTTTTTTTTTTTCAAGATCAAAAAGATCTTTTTCTTTGTATTCTAAAATAAAGATCAAGCTTTTGTCAATTATGTACTTGAATTATGCCATCTAAAGAAGAAACGCATACGATAATAATAAAACTGTAAAAATAAAAGTTTCATAACTTTATTAACAAACTAATTAAACTTAACTATAAACGTAAAATAAAACAAGCAAAAAAGGAAATTCTTATATTTTACCTTATTGTAAAATAGAAAATTTTTTTTTGTTTAATAAAGAAAAATTAAGTCGTAAGTTTAGAAATAACAATAGGCTAAACAGTGGCTATTGTCAATAGCCACTGTTTAACTTGTTTTAGTCATTTTATTGTTATCGTTATGTTATAAATATCAAAAAAGGAATAATTATAATTTTAATGAAGATCCTTTTATGATTACATTTTACTACGTCATCAAAATTTAATTATTAATATAACGTAAAATTAAGCAAAGCAATACCTTTTCAAGTCTATTCAATACTAATGATGCGAAAAAATAAACCTTTGCGACATCGTTTAACTGAGTTCATAGAAGTTCTGAAAGAGAAGTCTAATGAATATAATCACTTTGCTATTTGTAACGCATGCAAGGAAGCGAGAGGACATGAATACGCATATTCAAATAAATTTGTCAATACAAAGCGATTGGTTAAGTCACACTTAAAAAACTGTACGTATTTCAAAGATCAAAAAGGGGAGCAGGAAGCCAAAAGAATATTAGATGATACGGATAATGAGAAGTCAAAAAACAATCAAAAAAAACGTCAACGCAAATGTAAATAATATATTCATATTTATAAAATTATTTATAAATTAAATTTAATATAACAATTATATTAATATTAATAGATGGTAGTAATGAAGAATTTAGCAATGGCTCGGATGAAAACAGTAATACTGAAATTGAAGAATTCAGAGGGCCATTAGATCCTCATGTTGTACGTGAACTTTCCAGAACAAGGCAATCAAAATTTGATTACCTGCTTTTGAAAATGACGGTAGCAAATGGATGGAGCTTTAGATGGGTTAATAATCCAGATTCGCTAGCACTTTTTAAATTTCTTAATTCTAAGATTACTCTTCCTACTCGTAAGCAATTAAGTGGAAAAATTTTAAATAAGGCAGTTGATGAATTTGTGACAAAAATTAAAGAAACTGCAAAAAAAGACATAGTTGGCATTACTTTAACCCTAGATGGTTGGACAAATGTGATTAATCAAAATTTATTAGGAAGTGTTTTGATTACTTCTTCTGGTAAACCTCTAATATGGAAAGCGCAAGATGTTAGTGGTGAAAGATCATGTGCTACAGATATTATTCTAAAAGTTGAGGAGTTATTTAATGATTTAGAATCAGAGGAAATTAAAGTCATAGCCCTGGTAACAGATAGTGCAGCGGCCTATACTTTAGCTAGGTAATAAAATAATAAACATTTATTTTAAATAAATTAAATAATTAATTTAATTAATTTTTATTATATTGTAGGAAGAAATTGCAAATAAATCACAAAAATAAAGTTTTTTTACCGTGTTTTGCGCATCAACTAAATTTATGTGTTGGTGAGATTTTTAAAGAATCACCAGTATTTAAAAAAACTATTGAAGATGCAACTACTGTAACAACATATTTTAAAAATGTTAATCATATATACTTTATTGGAAAATTACGAGAACAACAAGAAATTCTTTATCATAAATATGTAACTCTTATTAAGCCAGGAGTAACACGGTGGAATTCTTACTTTTACTGCTTAGGAAGTCTCTTGAAAACTAAGGAAGCACTTAAAGTAATTAATTTGTTTAAATAAATACTAATATATATTTATTAATTATATAATTATTAAATATTTTTAGACATTAGTTGCTAAATATGAACCACGTGATTATGATTCAAGTGATGAATCTTTCGACCTTCGAGGTACTTCTAACTTGGTACTACCAAGCAAAATATGTGATATTATCAATGACGATAATTGGTGGCGGCAAATAAAAAATATAAAGTCTTTACTATTACCTTATTGTGCTTGTCTTAATTTATTACAACGTGACAAAGCACGACTCTTTGAAGTATTACATTCATTCAGTTATTTGGTTAAAATAATTAAAGAATATCCTGATATTCATCTTGGTCAGCGACTTTTAGACCAGTTAGAAAAGCGATGGAACTCCTGGGAACAACCATTATTGATATTATCATTTGTTCTTCATCCAATGTACCAAATGGAAAAATTTAATCCTGAATTGGAAAATTTAACATGGGTTGACATAGGTGAATATATTCTATACTATTATTCAGAATGGTTTTATCAACAACCAAATACAATCCTACGAGAACTTGAGCTTTTTCGTCAAAAAAAGTCACCATTTAATGCTACAACCTCAAGACAATTTGGTAATGATGTAATTGGATATTGGAGCTATTGTGCATCACGTGCTAAAGAACTAGGTCTTGTGGCATTACGAATTCATGGAATATGTGTAAACTCAGCCTCTGTTGAACGTCTTTGGTCTTCAATGGGATTTATTCATTCTAATCGACGTAACAGATTGCCGGTAAATAATAGTGTTGAGATAATTTTGCTAAATTATTTTAAATTATTTCAAAGTTTATTATTAAGTTTTTTATATAAAAGTCAAAGTTATTTTAGGTTATTTTATATTATTTAACACTAATAAATAATATATTTTTATTATTGTTTGTTATTTATTTTAATTAATTATATTATAGTTTAAAAAGGTATTGGCAATTAGCCAATTACGTGGAATCCTTGCTCAAAATCGCCGAATTCAAGAGTTGGACGAACTTAAAAAGCTTTATGAATCGACTTCAACAACATCTTTATTAAACCATTCTAAAGATGTGCCAAGCAATTTAACAGTCCAATATACTAATGATGAAAGTGATTACGATGAAATTGATAATATGAGTGAAGATAATGAAGATGATATTACATTATGGTCATCAATTTCAGATGATGATTCAGATGAAAATTTATCGGGTTCAGAATCAACTGACTTAGATGAATTGTTAGATAGTCAAGAGTCTTCAGTAGGTCGTAAAGTCAAGTGGCCATTAAATAGATTGTTTACTGCTGATTTAGAAGCACCATTTTTTGCTACAATTTAATTTTTTTTTTTAAAAAAAAAGAAAATATAAATATTGAAAATAAAATTGTAACCTGTTTACGCAATTAGAAATACTTCTAATATCAATTATTCATAGTTTTTTAAAAATAATTGTAATTATAGTTTTCAAACTGGTTCATTTTAAGACTGATTAACAGTCTAATCGCTATCGCTATATTAGAATATTAAAGATTCAGAAAGAGATTGGTATTTAGGATTAAAATCCCAGATAAATTTAAAATTCTAAGTGAAGGTTCGAATCCCCAGTTTAAAAAAGATATATAAGTTAGTTTTTAGGACATGACAGATTTGAATATTAAGGAAAAACGTTAAAATCTTTGTTCTCTTATTATATAATTTATTTTTATTAACCCTACGATTATTCAGATATCAAAATTTTAATCGATTCATTGATCATTTAATATCGATCCCAAAATTGGTACTTTTTAATGTTTGAACCTCAAAGAATAAATAAATAATAGTAAGTTAATCAATTATAAATTTGTTCATGATAGATGCCAAATATTTTTGAATTATTAAAGTCTCCCCGATCTTTAAAATCAAAGGGTGCCATAGTGAAATATTTTCTAATTTTTGATTATTAAAATTTATATATTGCGTAGCTTTTCTAGTTAGTAATAATTTATAGATAGTCATATAAAAGACGTTATTTATGAATTAATAGCGATAATTATTTAAGAATTTTATGCTCTTGTATAATAATTTTTTAGACACATTAATCACACTATAATATGTTTTAATTGACAAGCTAGTTTTTAATTTTAAAAAAAAATTTTAGTAAATGACTGGACATATTGGACTGGACTATGTCCAAGTATATGTCCAATGTCCATGTCCAGTCCAGTAGCATTAAAAATAGGTGGACATATGTCCAGTGCCAACACTGCTCTAGATGTTACTAAAATTTTATTTGTATTTGATTGGTTACCCGTTTTTACCTGAGTAATAGAACCTTTACCCAGTTACACAGCCTACCCACGGGTAACCCGAGTGACCCGGATACGGGTCCAATCCTTAATTTAATTTAAATATGAATTGAAAATTTCACGGTTTACTAAAATATTCCGAAAATTTTTTCGTGTCATATAACTTACTAGTATACATATCTAGTGAATGTATTTGTTTAATATGTTCTAGTTTAACCTTATTAGCTTCCAAAAATTGTTTTTTGACTTCATTGTTGGATTATTTCAATAATTTCTGTTGCAGTAGGTCATTTATTAAATTCTTTATCCATACATTTCATAGCTAATTCAATATAACAAATGGGTCTTAAACATTTAGGTCTTGATCTATCAATAATTTTTGATACAAGACCATCATCAAACGGAATTCCATCAAATGCTCTTTGTCCGGTTGAAATCTCAGTCACGATAACTCCAAAACTGTAAATATCTGATACTTGAGTATACGGTTGACCCACCAAACCCTCAGGTGCTATATACGGCAGAATTCCACAAACATTTCCCTCTTTTACTTTTCTAGAAAGTCCAAGATCAGAGACATATGCATTATGCATAGAAAGAGCTTGTAGAATGTTTCCACTGTGCAAATCTCTGTGAACAAGTTCCTGCGAATGAATCGATTCAAGATCAAAGGCTATACATTGTAAAATACTCAATTTATCTTTCCACTCCAATTGTGATACTTGTATAAGATTTTATCGTAATGAGCCATTTATTGCTAAATACATAACTATAATATAATCACCATAATCATTTCTTGATACACCAAAACAGTTCAAGAACGAAGGATTCTCGTAACCAATTTCACAGTAATTCTTCAATTCCTGGA